ATGGTGTTGGGAAACTGGAAATCCATATGTTGTAAAATGAAATTGAACCCCTATCTTTCACCCTGCACAAAACTCAACTCAAAGTAGATTAGGACCTAGGCATTAAACCAAAGACCCTGTGTCTACTAGAAGAAAAAGTAGGCAAATATTCATCATGTTGGCTTAGGAACAAAATTCCTCAACAAGACTCCTAAAGCACGAGAAGTAAAATCAAGAATCAATAAATGAGATGGTATCAAACTAAAAAGCTTCTTCACAGCAAAGGAAATAATCAAGAACATGAAGAGAGAGCTTACATAATAGGAGAAAATCTTTGCCACCTGCACCTCAGATAGAGCATTAATCTCCAGGATATTTAAAGAACTTAAATAAACCTCACACCAAAAACCCCAAACAACCCAATCAATAAATGGGCAAAGGAACTGAATGGGCACTTCACAGAAGAAGAAATGTTAATAATCAACAAACATATGAAAAAAAAATGATCAGCATTTCTAGCAATTAGAGAAGTGTAAATTAAAACCACACTGAGATTCCATCTCACTCCAATCAGAATAGCAATTATCAAGAACACAAGTAACAATAATTGTTCATGTGGATGTGGGGGATGGGGGGAAGATACCCTCATACATTGTTGGTGGGACTGCAAATTGGTGCAACCACTCTGAAAAGCAGTATGGAGTTTCCTCAGAAATCTTGGAATGGAATCATCATTTGATCCAGTTATCCCAGGCCTCTTTATATACCCAAAGGACTTAAAGTCCGAATACTACAGTGATGTAGCCACATGATTGTTTATAGCCCCTCAATTCACAATAGCTAAGCTATGGAACCAACCCAGGTGCCCTTAAACAGATGAATGGACAATGAAAATGTGTTATATCTGCACAATGGACTCTTACTCCGTGTCAAACAGAAATGAAATTATGGCATTTGCCAGTAAGTGGATGGAACTGGAGAATATCATGCTAAGTGAAATAAGCCAATCCCATAAAACCAGAGGCTGAATATTCTTTCTGATATGGGATACTAACACACAATAAGGGGAAGGAAGAGGGAAGAATAGAAGTTCATTGGACTAGACAAACAGGAATGAACGGAAGCGGGGATAGGAATAGGAACAAGAGTGCAGTGAACAGGACATAACCTTCCTATGAATACGCCACCACTATTATACCATATTATGTAGAACCACAGTTAGAACACAACCTAATTAGAATAAATTATACTGCATGTATGTATAATATGTCAAAATATCTCTACTATCATGTATATCTAAAAATAACAAATAAAAATGAAATAAAATGATTGGTGATTTTGGAGTCTGAATGTTCACTTATTCTGCTTTCTGGATTCTGAGCATTCCCTAGTCATGAGTAAGTAGGAATATACCTCTTGCCACCACATCTTCCTTTCTCTTTCTAAGTATGTAGGTAATGTAGGTCACATGCATGTATCTGGGTTAGGTAAATAGTATTAGCAGTTATAACCAGGGAGACTGCTGTGGGTCTGTTTTCTCTTTTAGTATTTCCCACCTTAATGATCCCTTGACCAGCCCTTAGTTATGTGGCATAAACTGGGCAAAGCGGAGCTATAATAGGGCATCGGTTCATGCAGAAAAGCATCTAGTCCAGGAATTGTATAAACTCTGAATGTCTCTTGGCTTAGGCAGAAACCCATGCCTCTTGGTTCCATTCCAACTTGGGGATTGCCATAATTCTAAATACAACAATATAGTGTGATCAGTCTTTGACTTCCTAGGATAATTCATTTAATAAATACTTACTCAAAGCCCTCTATGGTGTTAGACATGATTCTAGGCTCTTGGGAACCTAGCACTGCACTAGACTAAGTTTCCTCTGCTCTTGCAGATAATAATCAGCAAGCAAAAAAAGAAGGTTAATTGGGGAAAATGAGTGTTTAGATGAGTACAGTCTTTTCTAGATTGGATGGAATCTTACCTCCTTCAGGAGGTGACATTTCAGCTGAGAATTAAACATCAGGAAAGAGTCAAGCATGGGAGGAGGATGGGAAATGACATTTTATGTATAGGAAATAATAAATGTGAAGGACCAGAGGTAAGAATTTTGCTTGTTTAAGGAATAGAAAGCAAGTCAATATGGCTAGTGCATACTGAGGGAAGGGGGAATGATTAAGAAAAGAGATGCCGGGTTCAGCAGATCCTACAGTGCCTCAGAGACCTGAGGATCAGTTTAGAGTTTATACTAAGAGGAATGGGAAACCATAAAGGTTTTATAGGCAAGGTATAGATTTTTGCTTTTAAAAAAAAAGCCCTCAGGAAATCTCTCAGGCATCTACATGGAGAACATAACGTAGACAACAAGAAAGACATGGGAAAACTTGTTCTAGACTATTTATATAGGACATGGTGTTCTTTCGTAATTTTTTTGATGTCTTTAAGCATTAGTTCTTATTCAAATGAGTGCTTCTGTTCTAGAAATATATTCCAGCTGACTACCGATCTGGTTTACTTTGGTATGACATATATTCATTTCTCCATCTGTCCTTTATCCTTTTATCTAGAATCTATCACCCCACAAATGTTCGTTGAGATGCTACTGTTTGCCAAGCCCGGTATTAAGCATACAATGTTTAAAATTTTTTTTTTTTTGGTCTGGAGCCATTCATAGTTTATTTGTGTAGAAAGACATGCAAAGAGATAAATATAATGTGTTACAATAAAGGTTGTAATCATGGGTGCATAAAGTACATACATAAGAGGCAGAGAGCAAGTAGTCCCAGGTAAGATTTGGTGATATTTGAGCAAGGTTTTGAAAGATCAGTAGAAAATTAACCAACAACAATAATAATAATAATAGCTATTATTTCTTAAATTTCTAGTTGCTGAGGACTGTATTCTGAACTTAAGAACTTCATCTTTCTCCCAACCTATTGTGACAGGTAGTAAAATCCCCATTTCATGCAAAGACAGAAATACTGAGAGATCAACAGCTGCAGCTCTGACTATGAAATCCATTTGTCTCCAGAGACAACGTCCTTAACTCTACAAATTCCCTACTGTATATAAATAGAAGTGTAATGGGGGGGGGTGTATGTATAGTTTCTCTTTCTAGAGTACAAAGTTCCACAGTTATTTCCTAGAGATGCATAGGATATGTGAAAAATATAACACGCTAGTTGTTTCGATCATTGCCAACCTGCTTTTTAAAGATATTTTATTTCAGGGAGAATTTTAGCCAAGAGAACAAGGTATGAAAGGCAGGGAAGCAAAGAAGGGGACATTTGAGGAGGATTGGGGGTTTGGAGCACTGGAAAGTACAGGGATGAAGAACTTGAGGGGGCAGGGCATGAGCCACTGGACGGGATGGAGCCCGGGCAGGACATCACCGCACAGCGTGTAGGGGGCTTGCCTTCCTCCTGCAGGCAGTCTCAGTGGTTCCTTACAACCTGGAGAACTGTATCAGGTCACGATTGATCTCGGCAACTGACCTGCAGCCTGAAAGAACCAGATGGTTACAAAGCTTGGTTCTCTCATTTCACAGGCACGGGATGAAGCATTGGGAAAAAGATGATGATTTAGAGGCTCATGCAGAAAGTGTCTAGCCCAAGAATACACACACACACACACACACACACACACACACACACACACACACATATACACAATATACACACACACATTTGTGTGTGTGTATGTGGGTGTGCGTATTGTGCTGGGGGTTGAACCCAGGGTCTTGTGCATGCAAGGCAAGCACTCTACCAACTGAGCTATATCCCCAGTCCTTGATAAAATATTATGTGCACAGAATGAATCATTTAATTCTGATTGCACTGGAAATTATTTTATGATGCCATACCATGTCATGTTTTAACATTTCAAAATGTCAGGGTAAAAACTCTATTTTAGTATTTTAAAAAATTATCCTTGCGTACTGTAGATATCTTTGAACTTTATCTAAATTTTGATAAGGTACAGGAGTGTTGAAAGCAATTGCTAAGGAGGGACAGACTCAGGGATAGTGTAGGAAGCGGGCTGAGTCCCCCCTACACCAGCTGCTTTTAATGCAAAATTCTGTCAAAGGACAAAGATCTTTTTTAGCAGAAGATCTTAATTAATATGCAAAATGAGGACTATAGTAGAGATTGCATACAGGAATTCAAAAGAGTCTTTTCAGACAAAAAGTAAAAAAAGAAGGGAGAAAGAGAAGCTAGCACGGTGGTGGTGGTGTGGGACTAGAGAGTTGTGGACTCGGGTAGACAAAAAGAAGTCCCTAGTAATGCGAAGACTGAAAGAACTTAGTAACAATCAGCGTGATTTTGAACTTCACGTTCTTTCCATATCAATGATGTGTATACACCTTTGCCTCCCAAACGTAATATTAGCAAACTCTATTACCAAAATATTAACCAATGAGAGAATCTTTTTCTAAAAATAGAAACAAATAAAAGGGTTGAGTTTCTGGGTTGATAGAATTGAACAAAAAAAAAAAAAAAAAACAGGCATGGGATCTGTAGACAGCCTGTGAACTGAACTCAGAATCAGGAATTTAGAGACAGAGGTGACCCTCTCCAGAAATTGCAATGAGCTTGAGGAAAGTTCTGGGTTACCACTGGCAGAGAATAGTGCTTGATCTTTGTCTAGGACAGTTCTTCCCTGTTCTCTCTTCTGGACAGCTAGGAAAGAACTCATTCAAGGGAAGGGCTCTTGCTTCTGTTCTACAGATCTCCCACTTAAATCCCCCAAAACAGAAAAAAATAATAATAATAAAAATAAAAAACTTACCTATAAGTGTCATGGAAGTGTGGAACTCATTTTTTAAAATCTTTAAAACTTCCTCAATACCATCTTCACCCTGCTCCCAAGACAGAAAGGGCAAAGGCCCCAAAAGAGACTTGAAGGAACATTCTTTTTTTTTTTTATTTATAATTTTTTATTTTTTTTATTGGTTGTTCACAACATTACAAAGCTCTTGACATATCATATTTCATACATTAGATTAAAGTGGGTTATGAACTCCCAATTTTACCCCAAATGCAGATTGCAGAATCACGTCGGTTATACATCCACAATTTTACATAATGCCCAATTAGTAATTGTTGTATTGAAGGAACATTCTGACCATCTGCTGGGTAGGAACCATGGACATAGTGAGAACTATGGCAGGGGATGTGGAAGAATACCTAGGACATTAGAATTATCTGGGGAAGAAATGAAAGCAAGAAGGAAAAGTCAGAGATGAGAGCTCTTGAAAGTTTGTGGCACGCATCAGAGGGCATGTGGAGGAGAGGTGATTATCCTCAGGCACCTCGAAAAGTGGTGAGGGTGGAGGATGAACCACAGAAAAGCATGGATATGAGCAAGACTCTCTGTATCTTCCCACTGATTCACATTGTGCCACTCTTACCTTATAGGCAAGACCCCAGAGGATTGGTCTCCCAAGAAAAATGCACTTAGCTCCAAGGGCCAGAGCTTTCAACACATCGGTACCAGTTCGGACCCCGCCATCGAGGTAGACTTCAATTTTCCCTTTTACAGCAGTCGCCACTTCTGTCAGAGCATCAATCTGAAAAGGAGACAGACACGTGACTGCAGGGACTTCTCTTTTGACTTTCAGGGAGTGTGTGTGTGTGTGGGGGGGGGGTAGGTGCCCTCCACTAGTTTGGCCAACTGGTCCCTAACTCCCTCACAGTTTATCTGAGAAATGGAAAGAAGAATGCAACAACAGCAGTGTTGTGAAAGTCAAGTGCAGGCCTTCCAAAGACAGAACAAAAGCAGCTTATCACTTTGGCTGCATTTCTCCCCTGAATTTTCTATCTTATCTAATCACTTCATTTCCAGCCACTGAGGCTGACAGGCCCTGACTCTACAAGATTCCCAGGGCCACTCCAGGCTCCTGGCACTTCCAAGTCTATGAGGAGGATGGTAGCAGGCCCCTCAGGATTTTAGCAAGAGGATCCTGGGGAGGGAGTTCTGAACTAACCTCTGGGTTCTTGCTCGTGCTTCACTGAGGGATGCCAGAAAAGAGGACTTGAAATTGGGCTCTAGTGGGCCTTCTGTTGCAGAGGAACTCATCAGAATTCTACCTGGCTTGAGACTGAGCAGCCTAGTAAACTAGTGAGAAAATTTGTGCTTTAATTTACAAACAGAGGGGTTAATTGAATATATTTTGGACTCACATAGAACAACCGGAGAAAACTCATGTCCAAGTATTATTTGGAATATTTCCATGATGTTGTGAAAAAGAAATAAAAGTATTTGTACAGACAACCCCTCTAGCCATATTGGACAAGGGAACTGACAATAAGTTGGGAAGTCGAAGAGGGAGTGAATTTCAGCGAAGGGTACAGTGTGGTTTTTTAGAGTTTGTTTTTAATAGGCCAGATCAGGATATTCATTGGAGACTCCCAAGGACAGCAGGTGACTTATCCTGTCCCCTAGAAACACAAGGACATTAGACATGGAACTTCATAGAGGTGGGATCTATATTCAAAATATATCAGGTATTATAGGGCTGGCATCAGCCTAGGGAGAGTAAGGGACTTGCCACAGGCAGAAAACTTATGAGGACACCAAAAAAAATATCAGATAAATGATATTGAAATATCTAAAAAAAAACAAAGGGAGGATCTGCAGAAAGAAATTGACCAGGGGCTGGGGATGCGGCTCAAGCGGTAGCGCGCTGGCCTGGCAGGCGTGGGGCCCGGGTTCGATCCTCAGCACCACATACAAACAAAGATGTTGTGTCCGCTGAAAAAACTAAAAAATGAATATTAAAAAATTCTCTCTCTCTCTCTCTCTAAAAACAAACAAACAAAAATTGACCAAATGATGCTATATGTACATACATGATACACCACAGTGAATTTCACCTTCATGTATATCTATGAAGCATTAATTTAAAAATCAATCAATAAATAGAAGGAAGACCAGTAGAGAGAGGAAGGGGAACAAGTAGCAAAAGGAGCAGACGGAAAGAGGAAGTACTAGGGACCGAAATGGAAAAAGTTATATTCTGTGCATGTATTATTATATTAAAATAACCCTCACTATTATGTATAATTATAATGTACTAGTAAAAACATTTAATAAAACCAAAAAAAGGGTAAATTCTGATTTGTGAGGATTTATTTGTGAAAATAAAATGTTCCTGGATCCAGGGTAAGGATCAAGGTGAAATAAGTGAGACAGGGTTATGTAGATGTGGGGGCAGATCCTGTCTATATTTAAAATATGGATATCTTGTTCATTGCAGATTCTTTTGCATTAATTTTTCAATTTTTTAAGTAGTGTATTGAAATATTTATCTTACTAAGTCCTTTAGTACCTGCTTAAAGTTTGGAATCCAGCATCTCACTAGCCTCACACGTCTCTGGATGCTGTCCCTGGATAAACTTGTATTTGAATGATTTAAAAAAAAAAAGGTTGATCAGCATAGTTTGAGGGAGAAATGCTTCTAAATCTCTCTCTGGCTCAGTGTGTTAGCCAGTTCTTGTTCTCTATTGAGGAAGTTCAGTGGGAGATTAGTTGGTCTCTTTCTACACTCATTACTCAGTCCTCCCAAGGGAGTAGGACTAGCTAAATGGATTAATGAGAGCCTGTCACCTATGGTATAATGCTTGTCCTAGTTTTCCATCAGTAGCCTGCCTTCTACCCTGCTTGCTGCTTGTGGGTGGTAGGCTCTTGCTTTCTGCTTCTATCTGGTAAGCACATTGGGGCAATTCAGGAGGCCTGCAAGGATTTTGCATTCTCTGTTCTGTTAATGGCTGGATGTGTGAGAAGTAGGCCTGTGGGCATCCTTGCAGGAGTTAGGTGAGAGCTCAATGTGTGCACTTGAGACCCATTTTCTCTTCCGGTTACAGGTCAAGAGTTGGGAGTATTACTCAGCCATCAATAAGAATGAGTTTATGACATTTGCCAGCAAATTGATGCATCTGGAGACTTCATGCTAAGTGAAATAAGCCAGACCCCAAAAGCCAAAGGTGAAATGTTTTCTGTGATATGTGGAAGCTAACCCACTATAAGGGTGGGGGATGAGGGGAAGAAGAGAAGTTCAATAGATTAGACAATGGGGGATGAAGAGAAGAGAGGGGAGATAGGAAAAGGAAAGAAAGTGAAGTGAATCTGACATAATTTTCCCATGTACATATATGAAAACAGCACAGTGAATCCCACCATCATGTACATCCATAAGAATGGGATCACAACTAGAATAAAATGTGTCGTGCTTGTATAATCATATCAAAATGGATTCTGCTATCATGTAAAACTAAAAAGAACGAATTAAAAAAATTAAAAGATTTGGGATGGAAAATAGGAGGCCTGACCAATTCATTCAGTCCAGCTTTTACCAAAAAGCCACAATCAAGTGCACATAGAGTTATGTTCCCCCTGTGGGCTGGCCAGGCCTGTGCTTTCTACCAGGGAAAGGAGGGGAAGAGTGATTGACACCTGACCCCTCCAAACATCACAAATCTTGGAACATGCCAAAGGGCTGCTGCAGCATTTCTACTTCCTGGAATTTATCTTTAAGAAGTAATTGAGAATGTGCTAAAGACTTTAACCTTAAGGATGGTCACCAATGCATTAAATATTGAGATTGGAAGCAATGTAGATGATGGACAATAGGATATTAGTTACATAAATTGTCCATTCATATGACACACTATTAAAAATACGAGGAGAATGTTTATTGAAACAAAAATTTGCTCTTAATTCATTGTTAAATAAAAAAGGAAATTACAAAATGTTATGTATTTAAATAGAAAAAGTATTTGCATTAAGAAAATTGATGACAAAAGTACCAAATACCGGGGTTGGGAATGTGGCTCAAGTGGTAGTGTGCTCGCCTGGCATGCATGGGGTGCTGGGTTTGATCCTAAGCATCACATAAAAATAAAATAAAGATGTTGTGTCCACCGAAAACTATAAAATAAATGTTTAAAAAATTCTCTCTCTCTCTCTCTCTCTCTCTCTCTCTCTCTCTCTCTCTCTCTCTCTCTAAAAAAGTACCAAATACCTAAAAGAACAAAAATTTTTAAAAGGAAGTAACAAAAATATTGACATTAATGACAGAGATGAAATTTGGGTGATTTTTATCTTTTCCTTTTTTCTTATGTGTATTTTATAATTTATCTGCATGTTTTGCTCCCCAAAAAACTTAGGATAAAAAAGCTTCACTTCCCTTTCTTAATACAAGTCAAACAGCAATAAAACAACCTTTTGAAAAAAGATAACATACACATCTCCATGAAAATAAATCAACAACTAATTTCCATTTAAATATTCTTTTTAATATTTAAATATTCTGCCTCCCTTCTCCTTGTTATCTTCTTATAAACCCCATCTATAATGAACATAAGTTCATGGGTTTGGGAAGAAAATTATAGGCTGTTGTAGATTTTAGTAATGAATTCATTGGGGGTGATTTTTGCTTTTAAGGTGAAAGACAGTTACTTATTAGCTTAAGTGAGCACTGGCCCTTCCTGGGATATATCAGATGGGAAAACATGGGGCTATAAACAATGCAGACATGCAATCTTCAATCTGAATGCTTCTTTACAGCAGGCAGGAAGTTTCATTCCTTTGAAAAATCTCTCTGATTCTACCTCAATCATGTTATCCATGTGAACCTGGACAAGTTACTTGACATCTTTTAACTCCAGTATCCCCATCTGTAAAATAAGGATATGCCTGTCTTGCAGCACGGTCAAAAGACATGGGGATAATACTTGCAAAGCTTGTAAAAAAATAGTCTGGTACACACTAGACTTCTGTAATGATTAACAGTCCTTAAGATCATGGGGGCACTAGGGTAAGGGAGAGGGTAATGGCACCAGATTGCACAGAGGGTTTAGAGGTGGACACACACACACACACACACACACACACACACACAGCCTCACAATCATACCTCCTTCCCTCCCTCTGATATCATCCTACTTACTGAAGCAGGGACCTCATCAAGCTGCCTCCCACCATGGTTAGAAACAATGATGCCACGGACATTGTGCTCCACTGCTAACTCTGCATCCTCTTTTGTCAAAATCCCTTTGAGGATGATGGGGAGTTGAGTTATACTCTGAATCCAAGAGAGGTTATCCCAGCAGAAAGATGTACTGATGGGAGGCGACTGGATATAAGGCACGGAATTTCTCTGTGGGGAATAAAAAGCCAAGTCTTAGTCCTGAACTCCTGTAAGACTGCTTGGTGTATTCCAAAGAAGAAATGCATTTGGAGAGCTGCCGTTTATAAGCTTGAAAAGAAAAAGAAAGAAATCCAAAATGCTTCTGTTTTCCTAACAAAATTTGTATGAAAGAATGTTTACTTCAGACATTCAGTTGCTTAGTAATTAACCACTGGTTATGTCCTTGCTTAATAATTACGATAAAATATGAGGACACAAAAAAGATTTTTAAAAAAGATAAGATAAGGTCCTTTTACAAAGAGTTCAGAGTTTATAATATGAAATGGATAGATAAGCAGACATATTTACTGGTCAGTTTGACATTTTTATGGTTGAGATATTCAGAGGCTAAGACTTAAGCAATAATTCAAGAATCCTAACTCAGGTTATTTCCCAATATTTACAGTTGATTCACTATGAGCATCAAATACCCATAAATCCTAATGTACCTGATTTTTTTGGGATAAAGTTTCCAGAGTACCTGATGGTCAATTTGTGGTGAAGGAGAGCTGCTGAGTATCTTGGCTGGGTATCACAGCTGCCCATTGGCTGAAAAGGCTGTCCTTACCACCTCTATGACAGTCAGTCAAGGGATTCCAACTTTACCATGGTATTCCCTCTCTGGAGTACTCCATCCCACTCAAATATAAGCTTTTAATGAAGGAAGTGCCCACTTAATTAAGCATTCAAAGATTCCAAGAAGATGAGTGTGCAGCACTCTGATGTTCCAGAGTGTGATATTCTAAGTATGCAGACATATGGACATCTTGACCGTGAACATCCTCTGCAGAGAACTAGTTTATCTATGTGTACGATCTACAATTATCTTCTCCTAAGTATGCCTTGACGTAGAAAATGTTGGATGACATTAATTTATTCTCCTAATCCTGCTAAATTCCTTCCTAGGGATTTCTTATTTCTCAACATCCAGTTCTGGCCTGAAGACTGCTGGTGTTCAGAAGTGTTCAAGTTAGGAAGCTCCAGAAGTGAGAACATTGGTCTTATTTTCTGCTTGTTTACAGAGAAGAAATCAGATATTCTTTTTGAACAGCTGCATCCCTAGTGTCTGGCATAGGACAGGCACTCAAAAAAAAAAAATTATGGAAAGGAAGATGGGAGGGAAGGAGGAAAGAAGGAAGGAATTTTGGCTTCTGTACTGCCTGCATGCTGAATCTGGTATCTTTCCTACCTCCGTAGGTGGCCGAAGATTCTTTAGCTGTAAGCTCTTCATCAGGTCCAACTGATTTCTAATGTCCTCTCGCCTTTTGCCAACTATGGGTGCATCCACTGTGATCACCAAAGCTTTGAAACCCAGGGATTCTACTCGTTGGATAAGCTGTTTGTTTAGCTGCCAGTCTGACTGCACATAGAGCTGGAACCATCGGAGGCCTTTGGGAGCAGAAGCGACAATATCTTCAAGGGTACAGCTGGCAAATGTGCTGGTGATGTAACAGATGCCAGCTTCTTGGGCAGCTGCAAAGCAAAGGACATGACTCAGGTCGGAAAGCACAGGAATTCTGGACTGTTGTGAAAGGCCTTTGGAGTCCACGCTGTCCCTGGCCAGCTTGCCCTGGATGTGAAGATAAAACTTGACTTCATTCTGTTTCCCTGAAGGGCAGGGACTGGAGATGGCTTGATCAGACAGAGAGGCCTAAAGCTGTTCTTGTCCCTCTCCTGTACCATCTGTCTTGCAAGTCCTGTGGCCTATCGTAAAACGTTTCCAGCTAGAGATATCATTTAATCCCCAGAATCATGTTGGATACATTACAGTCTTCAGATAAGAAAGGAGGCTTCTTATGAATTCCCCTTAATGAAGGAAGAGAATTAAAGAGGCCAGAGGAAGGGAAACACAATTCTGGTGGAAAAGCCTAAACTGTGGAGTACAAATATCAGGATACCACAAATAGAAGAATAATGGCTCTACTACTGCTTCCTTGCTGTGTGACTTTGAGTCTCATTTACTTTATCCATAAAATAGGGGAAAGAATAATATCTGTCTTTTGTTAGGAGACTAAATAACTTGCTAGATATGGAAGCATTCTTTAAATTGCAAAGTGACATACTGCACAGGTGCTAATGATAAGGAGGTTGATGGTGACAATGGTGACGATATTGATGTCACCACTACCGCAGAATTGAGTATTTCTCACTTCCTACATTCAGTCCTTCAGGGAGCTTCTCCAACAGGTTAATGTCACTAACGTCACTAATGTTACAGGTGATGGGCAGAAAATTTGGCCTAACCAAAAATTAATACTAATATCTCATGTCAATGGGAGGTACCTCATTCTCAAACCAATATCTTCAACTGTGTAGATTTAATAAACTATTCAAATTCTTATAGGAAATTCATGTTTCAACCCAGCCAGACCTGGCTATGTTACTTTTAGCTCTGGAATACTTGGACTTGTTATCTCTGTATCACGGAGTCAAGGGAAAAGACCCTAAAGAAACTCTGGACAACTAAAAACAAAACAAAACAAGAGATTCAGCCTAGAGTGAAGATTACAGAATCTCCAAAGGATTTTTATTCCCATCTCTTCTCATTTTTATTATTGATATTAATATTATTATTATTATTGGTATCGGTGGAAGACATGGAAGTTACCAGGAAGGATAAATACACAGTAAAAAAAACAAACAAATAATTTTTTGTTAAAGAAGATGACAAGGTCAATTGAGGAGAAAGGAAATGGAACATTTACAGAAGAGAAACCTACAGGGCCTTGTGTTAGAACCTAATGTCATAGTTTTCTCTTCACCCTAAATTCAGATGTTCATCATTCAGCCCCATACCTGATCCCTAAAGAGCCAGACAGACCTACCCTTGGGGCCATCCTCAGGGTCTACTCATGGAGCATTCCTTTCCCCAAAGAGTGTGTGGTTCATCAGGCCAGCACCCTTCTTCTCCGTGACAACTCGGTGGGATCTCAGCACACGCCTCTTTATCTGTGGTCCTCCCTTCACTCTGTTTGCTATCACGAGTGCTGGGTGTTTTCTCAGCATTAGGTAAAAGGTTATACCAACAGCTTTAAGCACTCCTTTTCCCACCTTCCGGTCAGATTGCCGTCCCTAAGGGCCTTTCTATGAGGAGTCCTGAAGCTCCCTGCTGTTGTTCTGAGGAGGCCTCCTGAACACATCTGGCCTTCTGGAAAGGAAGCCTTGAGATGGGGTTAGTTCATACCTCTGGCTGTGCTCACTTCTCCATCGGGCCAGAACATGCCGTGGAAGGCTGTGGGAGAGATGCAAATGGGGGCACTGATCTCTTCCCCTTGGATGGTGGTCCTGGTGTCCACCTCTGACACATCTCGCAGGTACCGGGGGCGGAGGCGGATTCTGTGGTAGACAAAAGTTCTATGGGTGTGATGATGATGCTTCAGCATGGTCATGGGGCCCCCTGATTCCCGGTGCAGGTTTATCTAAGCCAGTCTAGGTCCTGTGAATACTTGGTGAGTTCACTCGACCCATCCTAAGTGAGCAGTGTGGGTCCTGCAGGGGCCTCATCTCTGGCGCAGCTGATCCCAACGTCCAGTTCCCACACAAACCCCACCCTCTCTAAACTGCCAGTGCACAACGCTCCATGCCAGGCCCCGCCTTGCTGTTTGCAGAGTCTGTGTCTTTTAAGGGTGCCTGCCTGACTAGAGTCGTCAGTGGTGGGACAACTTGATTGATCCATCATAACAAGGACTAGAAAGGGAAAGAAGAGATCGAAGTTCCAGGCTCATTTCCTTCTGGGAAAGAAAGAATTCCCTAGAAAGTATGAAGGAGCCACTGAGATAAGACACATACCAGAAAATAATCATGGCTGTGTTGGAGGATGCTAATTCATTTGATTATTTGACTTAAGTACTACTTTAGAAAAAGGTAGGAGAATGATAAATAAATGCATCTGTAAAACATGATTTTAAGTTGAGTGAAGACCAAGCCTCCTAAACTAAGCCTCCCAAGCTTTTAATTTTTTCATGACTTATTATTGTTTCCGTTCAAAAACTTAGAAGGAGTTTCTCAAAATACTCATTGGCAAACTTGAGTAAGTGAGCCTCAGTTACTTCATCAGTGAAATAGGAGTCATGATTCAATTTACTAACACTTTTGTGAAGACAAACTGAGACGGAGCATTCCAAGTGTGCAGTGTTGTTCCAGCTAAGTATGAAAGTACAGAATAGAATGTTCGCTTGGTGTTCCATTTTGCAGTTTTCTCCTGACTTTTCTGTCACAGAGGTTGGCAAACTCTCTTTAAAGAGTCACATAGTAAATATCCTAGAATTTTAGGGTCAGCTGGTCTCCATCAGAATTATTCATCTCTGTTCTTAAAGTAAAAAAGTAGCCGCAGACAATTGTACACGACTAAGTATGACTGTATTTCAATAAAAACTTCATTCATGGACACTAAGATTTGAAGTTTATATGTATTCATGTGCCATATAAAGACGATTCAGTCAACAATATACCCTATATATGAGAAAGGTCACATAAGATTGTATCCCCTAGTGACACTGGAGCCATCTTTTATTGTATAAATATACTCTACAATGTTTGCACAATGATGAGATTCTTTAACAATGCAATTCACAGAATGTATCCCATTTCTAAGTGACACATCTGTAAATTTTACATATCTTCTTCTTTTTTGGCTTTTTGCCCCAAATGGTTAAAAATGCACAACCATTCCCAGTTTTTTTCCAATACAAACAAAAAAATAGGTGGTGAACCAGACTCCGTTTGTAGCTATTGTTGGCTGATCCATGCTCTATCCCCTGTTTTTCAAGTCTACCTATTTTGCCTTCAAACAATCTTCTATCATCCTGGAGACTTGCTGGTTTTCATGTTTTCTCCAAACCCAAGTCCACTCTCCTGTCCCACATTTTCTCCTCCAAGATAGAAGTCTATGAGTTCAGAGCATCTAGGCTTCCTGCCCTATGGCTGGTCTTCCTGGGACTCTGTCTTAGCTTTTTGGGTTGCAAAATTACTGGAATACAAAGGAAGGATGACTCACTTGTGTTTGTTCTAAGATAAATTCTCTCTCCATCTTCTCTCCAACCCTCTTCCCCCTCTGCCTCTCCTAACAGCCCCCCCCAAAAAATCACCACCACAAAAACCCATATTACTATATCTTGATTATTCCTTCTTCTTCGGAGGCAGAAGCCAGCACTACCAATATCTAAGGAGCTCCCAATCAATGCACTTTAGTTAACAATAAGAAGAATATGAAAGAACAAACTTTTTGAATGCTGCAATGTTCTCGTCCCGTGTGATGCCTTCATCAGCCACTCCTTCAATAAAATCCCAAGATGACTTTGACAGCCGATCTCGGGCATGTGCTTTAAAGTCTTTCAAACACACCAATGGCATTTCTGGACCTTCAAAAAAAAAAAAAAAAACAAACCGAAACAAACCTCATAAGAGCACTTCAGATGTAAAAGAGAGAGTAAAGGGGGACTGTGGTGTGAAATTGCTGGGGTGCAATATTGATCTCCCTTGTTCTTTAATTTAAAGGAATTACTGTCCAGGGCATGATCTCCAAGCCAGAAGGCAGGGAGCCACGCATTAGTTCTCTATGTCCCACACCCATTCCTAAGTCTGAATTATTTTGTCTTCTAAATGTCCCTCATGTCCATCCCCTACAAAGTACACACTGCCCTAGATCAAGTTGAGACCCTACCACCTCTTAAGAGATTATTACCAAAAAACTTTTTTATTTTGTTTCTTGCCTCCAAATCCGCTCTCCATCTCATCTCCCTGCAGCTTCCCGTGGTAATCTAAAATGCAAGCCTGTTCATGCCTCTGGTCTTTCAACGCGTCCATATCATAGCACTTGGAGTTTTCCAGGTCCTGCTTCCTAACTGCTTCACCAGACTCATTTCTTGTTGACTTTTCCCCAAGAGGAAAAATAGGGAATGAACTAGTACTAATGAGAGCTCCCAGGAACCTCAGATATTTGAATTACCTGAGGCTGTGGGTGAAATGGGGTGGGGGAGGCAGCTGGGTTTTTGTTGTTGTTGTTGTTCACTCCTTGACGGGAACATTAAACATATTCCTTTATATCATTAGGACAACAAAATATCATTATCTATCTCTTTGTTATTTTTTATAATGTTGAGGCCAGAAAAAAAAAATGGCATATGTTGCTTCTATTTATTCACATCCAGTCTGAACCTATAAACCTGGAGCTTGGTACTTCTGATAACAATCGTCTCAGAAACAAGAAAGAGGGTAGAGTTTGAGGTCATTAGTTCATTTTCTTTAACAGGAGCAAGGACTGTGGGATCCGTCCCTGCTGGCTACTGCAGTGGCTACAGTCAGTCACAGCACATAGAGCTCCTACATGAAAGGATTCCGGAAGGAAAGGCTGAGAAACCCGAAGTTTAAAGCTCCAGCCAACTCCCTTCTGAGCCTAAGACTGCAAGTAAAAACTAGAAGGCTTTTAAGTGACTGACTGAAGAAAGAGAAAGGTCCCAGGAACTAGAACTTCAAACAGGAATGGGTTTAGTTCCATCAATGGGCAAGGGGCCAAAGGCCCAGATGTAACATGGGGTGCTGGATATCTTGGCTGAGGTAGAGAAGGAGTAGAACTGGCCTGAGGATATCCCGAGTTAAGCCCAAATCCAGCAAGGTCAAAAAGAGAAGTAGCCCAGTAACATTAACCCAAGGGGCTGAACAGAAAGTTACATTTCAGAAAAAAAGAGCCACTGGGATGTGAAGGTTACAGATGGAGAAAAGGATGAGGAATGTGGACCACAGCTGCAGAGCTTTTCATAGACAGCCTTGTCACTGGATGGGCAGGAAGCTGTTCTGCTGCTGAATTGAGTCTGACAAAGCGCAGCATCTGTATCTCGTTTAACTCATTCCTACCCAACCCTTGAAGGATCAATCAACCTTAGTCCAATCAATCATTACATTGATCCAACTATATTGAAATTACACGTTTATACTTCTGTGTGCATAAATGAATTAATATAGCAGGCCCGAGAATGCTATTTTTTTTTAAGTCCTGCCTGCAAGGTTAGACCTTGGCTGGTGTCCATGAACTTGCATCTTAACAGGGTCCCTGATAAGAATGGCTCCTTGTATGTGAACTGTTTGTACAAACAGCATTATTTATGCTGACCACCTGCTTTCCCTCTGGGAGTCTAGGGTATTGGTACAGAGTGACCAAATGACCGTCTCCCAGCATGAAAGTCTAAGTTTTGAGTCTCTAATGAGCTTTGGCAGTCAGCTCTGTACATGCGTTCTCACATCGTAGGACTGGGGGAATTAAGTGCATCCTGCCTAACTCCCCTGGGAGTGGACTCTTGGAAGCTTATACCTGGTTTCCTCCAGATTTTGTCCTGTGATCCTTTCCCTTTGCTAAATTTGCTTTCAATCTTTTCACTATAATAAGTCAGAGCCTCAACTATATGCTGAGCCCTGTGAATCCTCCTAGTAAAACATCAAACCTGGGACCCTGAACACACTCTATCCTTGGACTTTAGGATTGTACATGACATTGAGTAAACATTCATACATGTCCACTACTTGAATGAACATTTCTCTGTATGTCATCTCTCTGCTTTACTGGATGAGAATTGCCCACCCCAAGTTTTAACTCCCGATATCCTGTGTATTAAAACATCACAGATACTCTCCTGAATATTTCTAGCACAGAAACTACACAAAGCTTATGTATAATCCAGGAGAAATGGCTCAGACTCACTCCAAATTACTTGCCTTGAATAGAGTAAATTATGTCATTTGAAAACTACTTGGAATTAAGGTTGGAACCCTTCTTAGAAATAAAGCATTAATCCCAACATCCTTATATATGGCAAACACTATTTTATCTGATTTTACACCATTTATAGTCTTTCTTTAGCCTTTCTTCTATCCAGTAGTTTCTCTCAATTTCCCTGTGAAATATTAGAATTGATGGGGTATTAATCTCCCCTGTTTTTCATTTGAAGAGAATGAGGTGTAGGAAATGAATATCTTGTGAAAGATTCGGCAGTAAGTTACTAAAGGAGGTGGGGTTCTGGAATCCTGTCTCTTGGTGGCTTCTAAAGATGATGCTCTCCATTTGCAGTTCAAGAGTGAAAAGCAAACTAGTTGCTCAAATAAATTATGTTATATTGAATTTAAAATCACTTTGTGGATCCAAAAAAATATAATTGCGCATTTTTTATTGTTATAACATGTGAGCTTAGTAGAGTACTTAGTAGTCTATCATTCTTATTAAAGAAACAATGTCAGACTTAGAGGTGAAGAGAAAGATAATTTGGCTGTTCAAAGCTTTTCCTTAAATTTGGGAGGGAAGAATTTAGCGCAGTATGTTTTTGTGTATTTCAGTCTGAGCCCGTACAAGATTAGAAAACACCAGAGAAGATTGACGTTATCTCCTAGTTTTCTTGTACTCTCATTTTAATTCATTCCCATTCCAGTGTTTTTTCTTCTGTTTGTTTCTACTCCAAGAGACAGGAGGAAAATTATGAAAATCTTTATTTTTTATTTTTTGCACATTGACCAAATATCAGATCCTATTCTAAGAACATTGGTTTCATTTTTCCTCTTTTACCTTCTCAGGCTCTTTATTTTTTAATAGCAAAATAAACAACTAGGTACAATTAGCAGACCAGTGACAAGAAAGTGCAAAGGCAGAGACCTTCATTGGTTCCTGTTGCTAAACAGTCTAATGTTCACACTCTTTTCTCTGACACTAGACTCGGACTGGAGCTCACAGGCATTTTGAGGAAGACCTTGCTTTCTTTAGTGTTGCCATCTGACCTGATACAGTTCAGCTACATAAGAAGTTGATTTCTTTTGAATATCTCAAATAATTCATGTGATTAGGAACTCTGCACACTTCAGAATTGGTGTCTGTATGGAAGGGAAATCTCAGGGTGAAAATCTCAGGGCAGGTTGTGGAGACAGGGGGGGCAGGGGGTTGGAGGACAAAAATCTGCCCCTGATGACTCACCTTAAGGGGGATATCTTTGGCACTACCGGATGTGTCCTTCAAGAGCCCTGACCCACTTTCCTAAAACTCATGCCAAGCTTCTTTGGAATGGCAGAGATAACATCAAGGCTGCATTCTGGGAACAAGGTTGGAGACACTAAAGGACTCAAGGGCTTTCATCCTACGTGGGATGACCGTTCCTTAGCCTCAAGGATAGTGACTTCAAAGAACAGAGAGTCAGCCGAGTTATCAAAGAGATTACAGCCACAGAAGTTTATGGCAATGGCTTGGATGCTAGCCGAAGGATCAGGGGCCCAGAGCTGCAGGGACCCTGTGAACCTTGGTGCAGTAGGCAATCATCCCAGGAATGGAAAAAGCCACTAGAACTGGGGGCAGATGAGCACCCAGGGAGATCTCTCAATGTGGGGAGATAAGGTAAGGGGCAGGACTTGGATTCCCAGTAACAAACAGCAAGTGAGTCCTCAGAGTAAAAGTGGAACCAGAATGTTCCTGACATGGGGGTGGCCCGAGGGAACCAAGGATGTGTCTGACAGGAAGGGAACCAGGGGCCCAGAGTGGGTCTGACAGGCACCATTCCAGTAAGATGCTGCGAGAATTGACTCCTGGTCTCCTCCAGCCCAGGATCAGCTCTGGCCTCTTTTCTGAGCCCTCACACTTTGTGAGCCAAGGACTCAGGACCCCTTCCTTCCACAACATGATGGCCATGTCTTTGTTTTATTCTGTTCTGTATAAGAATAGTTCTTCCTCGTCAGCCCACTAGCCCTCCACCTCTCTCATCTGCCTGTTTTCCTTCCCAGTACTGAAACGTCTCTTGAACTGTACGCATGTTCTATCACGAGGATTGTGATGTTTGGGTTCTCGGGACTAAATCAAACAAATTTGGCTCTAGGAGCTTTGTGTGTCATGGGTAAAAAGAGTTTGAGAGGTTCTGGGTCAGGGGACATATTTATGGGAGTCTCATTCTGGAGTGCTGTGACCTAAATTCGGCTGTCCTGCCTCCTCGGGCCCTAACGACCACAGATCCTGTCCATCAGCACTGGAAGACAAAACAGCTACCCTTGATGGAACTGAGACAGACCTCAGAGAGGAGAGACACGCCTGAGCTTCGCAGCAGGATTAAGAAACGAGGTCTCCTTCCTCCACACTCTGTGTTCTCTCCGAACTGGCTTATTTAGCTTCTCAGCATAGAGCAAAGAATCCTAGAAACTCACTTTATTACACTTGATGCCATCATTCCACCTCCTCCTCCACTCCTGCCGATTCTGCTTAGCCAGGGTCATCAAAGGAGGCTGCACTTCAAGTGGGACGTATTGAATAAACTGGCTTCGTCCACTGGTGTTTGTGGCAGCTGCAGGGAGCCTGCTTTGAGGAGAAGGTGACTGACGATAGTTCTATCAGTGGAGGCGTTGCTTCTCTCTAAAACTCAGTTCCTTCCTATGAAAAGGTATGGGTCTTTGCATATTTCAGTTTAATCCACATTAAATTCCAAGGCACTAGAGGGAGCTGAGGTCCTTCAGATCCTCTCCTGTGCTTCCCATAACCACAAAGGCCTCTGGATAGATGAAGTCATGTGAACATTCTAGCTCAGCATCTACTCCGTAGCTATAAAGTGCAAAAGAGGGAACTAGCTCATTATCTAGACATCTCTGCTAACAAAGAGCAGCTCAGTGCTCACAGCCTGCCTTGGCTCCTTTTCTCCAACCTTATTTTTTTCTTTTCTTTTTTTTTCAAGCTGTTCTGGTTCTGTGGTGTCACCTTATGGCTCCAGTGGGAATCATTTGACAATTCATCTACCTTTGAGAAGAGGACTAGATTCTCAGAACACTTCTTTTCCCTGCTTCCAGACCTGGTCTTCAAAAGCCATCTTCCATAAGAATGCCTCTTCCTCCTTCTGGTGCTCCAAACTCTTGGCTGATTTTCTCATTCCTTCTTCCTTCTCCCTAATCTCTTCTACTCCCTTCCCTTGCCCATTTGTAAACCAAAAATAACTCCATTATGGTGGATGAAATCCATGTTACTTAGGCCCTGTGTCAAGAAGCAAAAAAATCCAAAAGGTCAATAGATGCTAAAATCACACTAGACCTCGCAAAGGACTTCAAAAGCCTTTGAAAATACCCTCAGAGGCATCTAAGAGTCTTTTTCAAAATTTCCACCGAGCTCTTTCTTTCTCTGCTTAAGACTGCTGTTCCTCACCATCAATGTTCATGACAAATAACAGAAACCATTTATTACACAATTTTCAGTTCTCAGTGTTGGTTAGTAACTAGCAATAGAGTAAGTTTGCTTTATAGTCACTTGCGTCGCAAATACGCCAATTTTCTGCTACTTTGTGAACCAAGTGGGTATTTTCAGTCATCTGAGGATGCGATCATTATTTTAGTAGCATTCTTTCCGTGGCAAAACATGTTCTGAGTTCCAAACCAATGTCTTTCAAGTAGAGTTTTGAAGGCCAGCCATGCTGAACAGTGTGGGTTCTATAGTGGGATAGAGGCAATCAAGGCACACTGAGAGACTGGTACAAGTGTTTACATGGTGTTTTGAAAGGTTGAGGATATTCTTATTCTATTCAGGATAATAGGATAATTTTATTATTCAGATAGCTTTGGAGATAGGCTGAGGGAGCCAGTGCAGAAGAGAAGATAGACTCTTTCATATGCTTTGTGACTTGGCTAATGGCTCAAATCTCAGCTTTGCTAGTTACGCACCATATTTCTGTGAAAAACTAGTTTCTGAAAGAAGAATATTCACATGAGAATCCTTGTAAGGCTGAACCCTATAGTTATGTAAAGTTTCTAGAACTGTTCCTTATAGTAGGTTGTCAATAAATGGCAGGTCTGCTTTCATCATTCCTGTTGGGGGGGGGGTGTATTTTCATGGCTCTGAAGTTGAAAGCTGTTCCAAGATTCTAGGAATACTGTGATTAAAACCTTATATTCTGTAATTTTTACCCAGTGTCATATTTGTTTATTAGTTTATCCAACACAATTCATCAAAGCATGCTCTCAGCCAAGATGGCAGAGGCAGGTACTGCTCTCCTTGGGCTCCCAACACTTCCCAGTTGCTGAAAGATAGACAAGGTTATACTACAGGGTTATATGGACAGGATGTGGGAGTGACGTGTGTTAGTTCTAGACCAAGATTTAGGAGTCAGTATGTGACCTTCTATCTTTTTTCCTACTACAACAAACCAAAGGTCACATCCTCCAGAAGGTACAGCTTTAAGATAACAGTAGCTTAGGTCCCCCAATTGCCACCTGGAAAGGAGTAGCATGGGACATTTGCCGATATTATATGAACAAGAGAAAAATATCTGTGCATTAACCTACTAAGGTTTTGGGGTCTATTCTTAACTACAACATAGCCTAACTTGGCCTAACTAAAATATCTAGGCATTATACTAAACATTAGAGAGCAAAAAAGAGCCCTTTGTCTTCTCAGTCTCTGATATAAAAGAAGCCATACTGCAGCCCTCATGCTCTGCTTGTTAATGTGACTTACAGTATAACAAGAGTGTTTTTCTGTGGAGAGTTACTTGGGAATATGGAAATATTTCCCATTACTTCTCAAATGGTACCACCCAGATGATGTTCAACTTTATCTGTATAAGCTCTCAGTTCTCATCTATCTATGGTAGTAGAATATTACTACCTACCCAAGAGAGCTTGTAAGAACTAAATGATCTAGTAAAGACATAATAAGCTGAAGGGTTCAGAGTACAGGCTTTGGGAGCTTTGCCTACTGTTTGGAGGTAGTCGACCATAAAAACCATTTCTCCCTCAGTCCTGTTTTCAGACTGTCCTGTTCCACTCAGTTATCTTTATGCCAACACCACCCTAGCTTTCTATCAATAACACCCTATCTTGATTACTGATTTTATATAGTTCTGCCCAAATTGATCAATAGATTTTCCTTGATCTGATCACAACCCCCAAGAGACTCTTTCACTGCAGGGAATTTGTACCTAATTCCAAGCAAGTGAATATCCCCAAAGAAACACCACCAGTTCAGTTGTTTGAGAAATACTAACTTTGCTTTTTAGAAGCAGTAGCCTTGACATTATTTATTTTTTTTTCTATTTGTGGTCAAGAAATAGTAATCAATATATTACCTGAGGGTAGGGGCTATATGTTTTGGATTTTCAGAATCCTTTTACATGAACATATTTTTTTAAGAGAGAGAGAGAGAGAGAGAGGAGATTTTTTAAATATTTATTTTTTAGTTTTTGGCGGACATAACATCTTTCTTTGTACGTGGTGCTGAGGATCGAACCCGGGCCGCAGGCATGCCAGGCGAGCACGCTACCGCTTGAGCCACATCTCCAGCCCCCAACATGAACATATTTTGACCCATTTGTCCTCCTAACAACACATACAAATATTCCACCATGTGTCTCTTAGACTTAACTTCACTAGACCTGACCTTCTCTGTCTGTATAATGTCAAGGCTTCCTCTGCCAAGGTCATGAGCGTCCCCATTGCCGGCCTCCATGTGAACCTCTTTGTCACAGCTCTTGCCTTGTGGACTCACAGTCAGCTCCCACTGTGACTCACACAAGCAGGGTGCTCCTCGCGGCTCCAACTCCTCCCCCAGCTTCAAGCACCCTTGGGGAACCCCACAACAAACCTGATCCTAAGGTCTTCGAGGGCTTGGGAAAGGTGGTGTTCCCCACACAGCCTGGCTCCCTGCTGGATGTGGTAGGAAACAACAGCTCCCTGCCTATATAGCTCAGAAGTAAAATACAAGCTCAAAGTTAAACATTAATCTTTTAATTAAGCTCTCTGGTAATAAGTAACAACGCCAGAGTGAGGTTAGATGAAATAAACTTGATTGGCTTTGCAGAATTCACCCCCAAAAGAAGCTCTTCCCCCACTCTACGTGTGTGTGTGTGTGTGTGTGTGTTCCCCTCATGTAAATCAAACTTTATAAGTAGATAAATGATAGAAAATGTGGGGATTGAGGTGCAGAAACAGTTTCCCAGAATGTCAAGTTTGGTCAAACTTCTGAATCAAAAGAAGTTATTTAGTTATAAGATCTTACAAGACTTACAAAGTAAATTCAAGACTCTTGAATTCGTTATAAAATTAAACTGCAAAACAAACCAGTTGCTTATTCACTCCCAAACTATAAGGTGGTCACCTGTTCGTCAACGGTGGCTAATGGAAGGGAGTGGGTGACTTTAGGATTAGAATTACGAAAGCACCACTGTTTGGAAAGGAAGGGCTAGTCTGGATATGATGATGGGATGGTGGCAGAGAAGAGAGACTGGGAGCAGTGAGGACCCGGGATGGGAGTCCCTCAGGGGGCACATGGTGTAGCACCCTTCTTGCCTGAGCAGACAGATTAATGGGGGAGGCAGGGACAACCACTGTTTTCGAGTAGAGACACAATTCAATCATGCAGTGTGAAGGCTGAGCAGAGCAAACACAAAAGTACACAGAGAAAACAGAATGGATTTAGCTAGTCAATTCCCCAACTGATTGATGTCAGGCTTCACTAAACATTGCTAACTGGTTTCTAATTGGTCCAGTCCTTCCTTTATTCTCCTATCCCAGCTCTTGCCACCTGTCCCTCGTACTGCAAGAGCAGCTAACCTTTATTAAGTGCTATGATGCCCTAGACACATTGTGGGCATCTTTTACTTGATCTTGTATTTTAGTTGAATCTCACAGCAGGTTCAATACCTTGCCTAAGGCCTTTCAGCAGTAAAGAGCAGATTTCATTGAACCTGGACTGACCACACAGTGGCACATGGAAACTGTGCGCTGATCTGATGACCAATGCAGAGGGATCCGTCTTTTAGAATCTGTAGTTAGAGTAAAAAAGAAAAACCTTCCCTCTGATTTTTCACACTTCCTCCACTCAAGGCTCCTCTGCATTTTTTTTTTTTTGAACATTAAGTGCTACCTGTCCTCTGACCACTTGATGGCGGTATTACCTCAAAAATACTTCCAAAGCTGCCATCTGAATCTGGAGATTTCTTTTGGCAAGGCAGGTTTCCTCTTTAGGTTCTGTGCCCATGGTCAGCTCCCACATCACCCAGCCTGCCTACAGCCCCTGGATCTACACTTTCCACAGCACTTTCCAATCCTCAACCACATTACTGTCTTCCAGCTCCCTTCCAGAAGGCAGTTCACAGGAGTTTGCCTGAGCTCCCCTCTGTGGCCACCTACTAACCTCCACGTGTTATTTAGTTTCTCTGTACCTCATTTCCTCACATCTCTCCTACTGTAATAAGAAATAAATAAGTTAATAATCAAAGTGCCTGTGGTAGAGCAGTACGAGCTCTCATAGGAGATTCACCTGTGCATTCAGGGAAAGACTTGCAACCCTTTTAAATGGGCCCTGCATTATGCTTAGTACCAGCAGATACTAACAAATAAAAGTAGTGTTGGTGGCCTCTACGAAGGTAATCAGTAATAAATCAGTAATAAAAACGGATAAATCAGTAATAGATTAAAAGACAACTCTGTCCTAAAGGGGAGGCTGGTTGGGTACACCTGGCCACGGAAAGCCTCTGAGGAGGTTTGGCAAATTAAGAGAAATCTCTGCATTGGTTGCTGGCAATTGAAAGTTCAGGAGATGGGAAGATATCTCCTCCTGCAGATGTACATCAGGGTAAAGTATATAATTATCATCATCATCATTCCAGAACCAAGTTGTTTAATTTTATGCTCTAAAATATTGTAACAGTAGACTAAATTAGAAAATCAGATCTGGGTAGGTAAAGAATCGTGGATTTACATTTTGACTAATCTTTCTTTCCAGACTTTAGATAGCTAATATGGGCAACAGGGTATCCCCACCAAGCAGAGCCAGTCTCCATCACTGGCAGATATTTCACAATGCACCAATGACTAAGAAAACTGCCCTCAGAATTCCTAGGAACACTCTTGGTGGCAGTTCCTGTGGCAGCTTTTTTGGGAACTATTTTCTCCTGTTTTTTTTTTTTTTTTTTAGCATTATTGAGCTCAGGGTAGCAACTTACGGCCTTTTCCTGGTGAATTCACTTTGGGATCTGTACACCTAATTAAATATTTTGTTTGATCAACATTCCTAATTTAGAACATTTCTAGTGAACATCTTCAGACAATTCTTAAACTGAAATTATGGGATTCACATGTTAAGGCTTTTGGCTCTTGATCTATCCAAACCTGTGACATGAACAACATGGTTTGCAGACTTCCTAAGGCAACGCATGATCAGGTGACCTTAACTTGTTACCATTTTGTCAGGAATATGATTTGGATTCAATTTTTGATTCAATAATTGTCTTTTTATAAACGGATAGATTTGTATTACTGAATCACCTTGTCTCATGAATAAAATTATGCAATGTCCATTGCTTTCTATGTTTCAAATGTAGCAACAGTTAGCAAATTTTTTTCTTTGACAAGGAAATAGCTCAAAATAATTATGATTGTGTGATTGGTTTCATGGACAATCTAGGGATAACTGTTAAAAAATAAATGTAATGCCAGGTGGTGGCACATGCCTGTCATCCCAGGGGCTCAGGAGTATGAGGCAGGAGGATTGTGAGTTCAAAGCCAGTCTCAGAAAAAGCAAGGGGCTAAGCAACTCAGTGAGACCATGTCTCTAAAATACAAAATAGGACTGGGGATGTGGCTCAGTGGTTGAGTGCCCCTGAGTTCAATCCCCAGTACTCTAAGTAAATAAATAAATATGTAGATGTAAATGGACTAAATGTTTATAAGTGCACTCTTTGTGTAATTTAAAGTTTGGAAGTTATGTGATAGAGTTAAAACATCTGGATTATTTCTAATTAAATTGAAATACTGAAATAGCAATTGCTAAATATAAATTCAAGTATGCTTGACTTCTTAAATTCTATCAAAAGCAACATATTTGGATCTATTAATAAATATGTTTGCAGAAATTGTAGGCATGTGGATAAACAGTTTTAAATGGCTTTTTTATGGGTCTTAATTAACAAGCAAGGTTCCTAAGAGCTAAAATTTAATGGATGCACATTACATTAGATAATGTAGAGAATACAAAAAGAAAGTAAGTTGTGTTTATGATGAAAAGAATAATCATCTAAATTTGGAGGTTTTGTACAAAAATCTAAATTTCAGGAAGGAAATGAGATTGATAGGAACCAGTAAGGAGGATTAAAGAGAATATGAAGGAAGTTATAAGTATGAAACTACTTGGGGATGAGAAAAAAAAATTATATGGGAAAAATAGGATTTCTGTCCTTAAGTAGAATGACTAGAAGAAAAATAGGGCAAAACTAAAGGTGTAGGCCAGTTCTTAGGGTTTGAGCAAGTGGCAGAAGGTTTGTGAATGAAGGCAACCAGGTCATACGCCAGGTTCTAGAGATCAGTGAACAGAACCGACGTGGTTACTGAGCAGCGTACTAAGTTGAGAGCCAAGGAATAGGTAGGAATGTGGAAAATGGAACAGGAATGGGGAAAGTTGGCACAGTGAAGACAGGGAAGGGAGCAGACCGCATGGAAGAAGAGGACTCTATCTGTGGTAAAGGCAAGTATAAGATCGCTACGAGATGTGGGCCGCAGAAAAGACATGGGGTAATTCTCCTTGGGTGGAGGCAAAGGAGGAATGAATCACCAAAGATCTGCAGGAAGACATGAGTGTGGGAGGAAGGAGTGGCTGATGCCACAGCTAAGCTCATGCTTCTGTCTGGACAGATTTTCTAGCTGCCTTTGATTCCCTCCCTGCCTCTCTAGAAATTTGCCCCCTCCCACTTGGAAGAAGAGATGAAGAGAGCCAAAATGGCGGGTTTCCAAACATTTCCTGTCTCCGAGGGATGGATGACCGACAAGGAAGGGAGGTCTGGTTGCCAGAAAATGTGGCCTGGGCCATTATTAAATTTGTCTATCGTTCAACTCATTGTGGAAAAGAAATCCCATACAACTGGCTTCTTACAGTAATAAAGACCCCAAACTTACAGGGGATCATAAAGAAACTTGCCTGAATATTGTGTATAATGCCAACAAAATAACATTTAAACAAGGCCACCTGTACCCCCGTGAGCAAGGGAAGTACAAGTCTGCACATGCTAGACAGACAGGACTGGAGAGTGCATTTTACAGTCCCAGGGTCCCAGGAGGATTTTAATATCTCTTGGTGCTTTGGATACCTTTACTTGGTGGATGGAGGTCTAAAGATGTTACAAAAGGACAATAAGGGGAATTATCCCGAGGCTTAGACTCACCTGCTTTTATTCCAGAGATATTGGGTGGGGTTTCCCAGGGTCTTGGAGTACAATGGAGATGACATGCAGCCTGGAGATCCTAGTCAGACCTCAAAGGGTCAGTTGTATGCATAAGAACACTTTGGTCAAATTGCACCAAGAAGCTCAGGATATGTGGTCAAAACTTTTCCTCCCCATGGGAAGCTCAATTGCAGCTGCTCTCGGTCCTTTCTGGGGGGACCTACCTCTGGAATATACCCTGATTTGGAAGTGGAACTGGTGATAAAACACACAGTCAATCTAAGGCAGGCAATATCTGTCTTAATAGGTATGACAACTTAAGTCTTCCTTCTCTTACAGGGACAAGATTCTACCTCTATGAATCAGGGAACTGGTATATTAAAAACCTATAGATTAGAGTTCCTGGTAGGTCCAGCTTTGGACAGGGCCTAATTTAATCTTAGTACTTACTCTTCCCTTAAATTTCAAGGCATATCTCCCGGTTTTCATCACACCAGAG